ATTATTTCTAAAAATTATACCACATAAATGTGTTCCATTATTAGAGTCGTGCAATTTTTCTTATTTAGAGAGAAAAACGCAGCTTATAAAATTAACATAGTGGACATAATGTAATTGCATACGTACGGAAGATAGAGACATAAAAATGTTTGGTAGTAATAAATTGGGGAAAAAGAGACGCCACAAAACTTCTTTGGTCTTTCCTATGAGAAGATTTTAAAGAATATTTTGCTTTTTGTGAACCAAAGTGATTCTCTTTTCCTTTCATCCATTAGATTATCAATTTGGCCACATAAATTTGGTTTTTAGTTTTCTTTCACCCGAATTTTGATAAGGTTTTTATATATACTTCTCTTATATACCCCCAAAAATGATAGAAGATTTATGCTAGTTTTATAATTAAATTTAGAGTATATACACTCCGTGCCTATAGAGGATTGCATAATTAACTGACACAATTCTGCTTTATTCAACAGTCTACAGTTGTATTTCTTAGACCATTAAACCCCTACGAATCTATTGTCGTTTAAGAGAGAGAAAATAGGGCTGAGAGTTTGTATGTGTCAGAGTGTAGATATGTGATCTCTGGGAAGATTGTATTTTCAAGATTTTTTGGAAAGGAACGAAGGTAATAATTATTCAGTCTATATCTCTATTTCGTTAGCTTGTAGCTAATCTTCTACTCCCTCCGTTTTCGAATAGTTGTCGTTTTAGAGAAATTTTTTTGTTTTTAATTAGTTGTCGTTTTCAGTTTTTGATGCACAATTTATTACCTTTTTATTTTTTATATTTATTTTTATTATGCAACTTGATTTACTATTGGTTAAATTATGTTTAGATAAATAATTAATGATATTTTTATATTGAAAAACTAACAACATTAATAGTTTCTTAATTTGTGTGCATATAGTTAAAACGACAACTATTCGAAAATGGAGGGAGTATAGTATTTCTCGGTAACCGTTTTTCCTTTTTCTAACAATTAAGTTACCCTTTTTCTTAAAACGGCTAAATTATTGCAATTTTTGTTTCTTTTTGTATTCGTTAACTAAATTTTTACAGTCTTCTAATTATTTCATATTTTCCCATTTGACCCAATTGTTTTTTTTAGTTTTACACAAGGGCTTCGTTAACTGAATTATTACCGTCATCTAACTATTTCTTTTCGTATACGTTACCTGAATTATTGCAATATTCACTGTTTATGTTACTATCTAATATTCCTTATTTTAAGGTTCTTATATGTTATTCGCTAATGTAATCATTTGCATGTCATTTTTCCTCTTATGTTACCATTGTAGTTATGCTTTGCGTACGTTACCCGATAACTGTACCCGTATTATGGGTAACAATTTCAGCTATACATTTATTCCCCCAGTTGTTTGTATCCACATTTATTTTTCCAGTTATTTGTACCCGATAACTAAATGTTTTTGTTACCTATTATACTACTGGTAACCACTATTGTGGTTTTTTTTAAATTCTATTTTAAACAAAATCTTATTCTATTTCGCATTTCTATCTTATCCATCTATTTTCTTGTTTCGCATCGCGTTAGTCTCTAACGAATTGTTTAATTGATAACGTTGTTATCCTAACTGTTTTATTATAATATGCCTTTTGTTTATTGCTTATGTTACCATCTAATATATCTTATTTTAAGTTTCCTATACTTTTAGTCGTTAACGTAATCATTACCATGTCAATTTTCCTCTTATGTTACCATCTTATTCATATGTTCCCATGTTTCATATCAACGTTGTTATCCTAACAATTTTATAATAATACTAGATTTTAACCCGCGGTACACCGCGGGATGATTTAATTTTAAAGTTAGTATAAAAATATTTTGTAAATTGTATCTCCTTATAACATATTTATTTATATTATAGTTTACAGTTGTTATTAAGTAACGGTATACCACGAGTCCACGAGATAATTATTAATAAACTGAGGATTTAACCCGTATTAAAACGGTATATAAATATTGATTCAAATTCGTCCGCCATATAAATCATTTCCGAAATATATCCCGTTCCGTAATTTCTTAACCCGTCCTATGATTTGTATTAGAAAAAAGGATTAAATCCGTATTGAAGCGGCGGATTAATGATATTTTAATCTTTTTATTATTGTTGATTCAAAAACCCGTCCCGCCAAACCCATCCCGCCAAAAAACTCATTTATTTTATTAATGTTCTTATTTATGATATGATTCTGAATCATTGGCTATATATTTTAATCGATGTAGAACGTTGAACACACATTTTCGTCAATTGGATAATATATGTCCGTTTTTAAAATTTCGAATCACAGTATATGCAGAAAAAAAATTGATTTTTTTTTTTACTTTATGTATTATATGATGATTCAAAACAGTTAAAAACAAATCAAACAAAGATGATAGGAGAATCATAATTATAAAGCTTAATCAAATCTTCTAAAAATCTAAATTATTAAATATGGAATATCCGGTGTATGAGTTGGGTTAAATATAACCCGACCCAACAAATTTTTTGTGAAGGAATTTTTAAAATGGGTCGGATATCCGATATATCCGAAAGCTTTTTTACCCACCCGTCACAAAAAGTGCTGCGATTATACTAGTATAGATGCCTTTCCTTCTTGTTTTAACCTTTTGTCAGCGTCTTATCTAAGTATTTCCAGATGTCTTATCTAAGTATTTTGTTCATTCCTAATAATTTTTTAACACCCTAATAATCATGAACATCTATAATTTACCTGAATTTTAAGTGTTTTCATAGGGGAGTCTTTTCATGTTAATTAAATACTTATTGGGCTAATATGATTTCCTACTTTCCCATTTGCCCCCTTTGGTTTTTGTTAGTTTTCAGCACGGGATTCGATATTCATTGTTTATGTTGTCATCTAATATACCTTGTTTAAAGTTTCCTATAGTTTTAGTCGTTAACGTACTCATTAGCATGTCATTTTCCCTCTTATGTTACCATCTTATCCATCTGTTTTCTTGTTTCGCATCGCGTTAGTAGCTATCCAATTGTTTAATTGATAACGTTGTTATCCTAACTGTTTCATAATATTATGTCTTCGGTTCTCGTTTTAATCTTTTGTCAGCGTCTTATTTCTGCGTCTATAATTACCTGTTAACATACATATTATCAGCTCGTTTATTTCTGCTATAATGATTTTGTTCTGGTAAATCTTTCTTTTCCCCATGCCGCCGGCGTAATCTAACGTAATATTTGTTGCAGATTTTGTCTCGCATTAAATGCTGAGATTCACCAAATAAAATCTCGTCTTTATCACATTATAGGGGTGTTATCGTCTTTCATCCTCAACGCATAACTTACATAATTAATTATCTCTTTATTGCTCCCAAATCTTGCATTATCTCATCTTCTGTGGTTTTATATTTTATTGACCCTTAAATTTAACCAACGTAAGATATGCATAGTACATATGTAATTTTAGAGAAACAGGTTTTTTTTTTGTTTTTGAGTTTTATTCTTTAGGAAATATAAAACCCAAATTAAAAATAGATAATAATAATAAAATAAATCATATGTAGCATCAGTATTGGTTCTATTGGATGTAACTATGTAAGTGTAACTTGAAGAAAAAATTATATGACGGACAAATATTATAGTCGTTAAGGATATGAAGTGAAACTAAAAAGTCCCATAAATGTTGACATGTGTGTGAACAGAAGAATATTGTCTAAGTCGACTAGAAAACTTTAAATTATGTAATTGTTAAACGTTATATTTGTTACAAAAGTCAAAGAAATCATGTTGAAGCTTGAAGCTGCGCAGCCGTGAGATGTTTATAATTTTTCATATAGAGTCCATCATCACTATGCGTGTATAGTAACTTATCTTTTTCTCTATAAATAGAACGTTAATCGTTCATTATAAAATCACAATTGATACTTCAACAATAAGAAGTTATAAGAAATCTCTCTTCTCCTCTCATCTTTTTATTTTCAGTATCCCGATCCTTTTGAGGGTATAAATTCTTTCTCCATTATTTATATTTATATACACCATAAAATAAAGTAATTATTATAACACGTTATTAGCACGATCACTCTATGATCGCTGAAAAAAATACGGTATTATACCGGGCGGTATGTCGTCTCGTTAAAAGAAAAATATGAGAAAAAAAAAAAAAAAGAGAAAAGAAAATTATATAAATAAATAAAAGAAACTATATATGTATATATATGTTACTTCATGCACCATAATTAATTATTTTCTATTAATGGTTGGCTGAGCCACCTGAAATTTTATTCACTGCTTTAAATATTTATTTCTGCTACCGGTCGGCTGAGCCGCCTTAATTTTATGTACTGCTTTAAATATTTATTTCTGTTGCCGGTCGGCTGAGCCGCCTTAATTTTATGCATTGCTTTAAATATTTCTTTCTGCTACCGGTCGGCTGAGCCGCCACATATATATTTACTGTTTCTATGTGGATAATTCGCCACCATAATATCACTGTGAATTATTTGTTTATATTATGGATTATTCACCTGTATAAATATTTTTATCTGAATCGATAATTTTTATCTGATTGATCTCTAATTTTTCAGATTAATTTTTTTATTTAAATCTTTTTCCGCCAACGGTCTCAAAGAAAAATTTCAAATTCTTTTCAAAAAATTCAACTTTTTCCAACGGCTAGGAATAGTATTTTTCAATCTATAAATTCATTCATTTTCTCATTCATTTCATCAAAACAAAATTTTTTTTTCTCTCTAAAAACTCTCTCCGAAAAAAGAAGAAGAATTTTGAAGTTTTGAAGTTTTGAAAAATGTTTCGATTATTTTTAATATTTGTTTTTGGAATCATTATTATGTGTATCTATAATCTTTGCGTTGTAGATTTTACTCCGCAAGAATTTCGTTTGACCATTAGTTTACTTGTTTGTACGCTTTTTCTTTTTGTAATCGCTTGCATTATTAATGTAAACGGTTCATTTTAAATATATTTTAAAATAAATTAAATAAAGATTTCTAATAATATTCCATGTTTTTATTTTTAGAAAACAAATGGCAAACATTGAAAAGCTTAAGATCCAAGCTCTTCAAATCAGGGGCGGACCCACGTTGGTGGAAAGGAGTGCAACTGCACCGGGTAATATATAAATAGTTTTGATTTTACATTAGGTATATTGAAGCAATTGGCCCAGTGGTTAATAGATACACCCTTAAAGCATGAGGTAGTAGATTCAATTCCCCACAAATGTGTTTTTTTGCACTGGGTAAAAGTTTTGGCTGGGTCCGCTACTGCTTCAAATCACTGGAGCAAATTACATAGCATGGACCACTGATGTGGAACTTCATTTAGATTCGCAGAATCTATTGGAGACGATAAAAGAGAAAAATGAATCACCTGCCAATGAAAAGGCGAAGGCGATAATTTTTCTAAGAAAGCATCTAGATGAAAATCTGATGCATGATTATGCAAATGTAAAAGACCCCGTGGAGTTGTGGAAAGCTTTAAAAAATAGGTTTGACAACCAGAAAGCAATAACTCTCCCACATGCCCTTGACGAATGGGCAAATTTGAGGTTCCTAGATTTTAACAAGGTAGCACAGTATAATTCTACCATGTTAAGAATCGTGGCTCAATTGGAATACTGTGGTAAGAAAGTGAGCGAAGACGAAATGCTCAATAAAACCTACCTTACATTCCATAAGGAGCACTATGTTCTTGCAGAACAATACAGGAACTGCAAGTACAAAATGTTTTCCGAGCTGATTGTGGCGCTTATGATAGCAGAGAAGAATAATGAACTTCTCATCAAAAACCACAATGCTCGGCCTGCAGGAACCAAAGCATTCCCTGAAGTGAATGCAGCGGATGTAAAAAATCTGGAGAAAAAGGATGTAAACTATCCTGAGAAAGGGAATCAATCATATCGGGGTCGTGGTGGTCGTTTTAATCGTGGGCGTGGAAGAAATTACAACTCACGTGGAAGGGGGTCGTTCAAATGGGTTCGTCCTCAAAATGATTCAAAAGGGAAGGAACACCAAGAAAATTCCACCCAGAAGAGTGAGAATGTGTGTTATAGATGTGGATCTAAGGGACATTGGGCCCGTACGTGTCGAACTCCTCCACATCCTTGTAAGCTGTACATGAATTCCACGAAAGGAAAAGGGAAAGAAGTCAATTTAGCAGAAAACTTCGAGGATACATCGTATCTCGATTCTCCCTCCTTTGCAAATGATTTGGATTAGACCGCTTTTTGTGGATGTCAGATTCACACACTCAAGTATTTTGTTAAGTGGGAAAGATTATTCTTGAGGGACAAAAATGAATGTATAAAAAACTTGTGAATTGTTACGAAAATTGCTATATTATTTCTTTTTCGAGAGGAAGATCCTCTTTACATGGCCATTGGCCTCTATATTTATACATAGATAAACGACATTAAAATGAGTAATTAAGTACAATTATTTCTTCTTAAATGTGTCCGTTTTGATTCTTCGGCTTGAATGCTCAACGTTTGAATTTGAGTTGACTCTGATCTTCATGGGCCTCGCCTCTTTTGGCCCAAGTGTCCTTGAACCGACTTACCCGTGTCTTCTACACCGAACTCGTGTCACAATGCAGTCACTTCGGATTCTCGAAATGGTGACAACCACTTCGACCGTCCCTTCGGCTCACGGGTCCAATGGGCTTCATCCTTTATGGGCCATTATCTTGATTACGTGGCAATCTTTGGTTGGTCTCGTACTTCTGGTGCGGGATCCGACACCAACAATTAGCCCCCCAAGTTCTTCGAAGTGCTATTCCAATTCGGAGGACTTTAAATGCTCAAGTGGCCAAAGATTGCGCTGGAGAATCTTTCTGATTTCCCGCCGAAAATCTCATCACTCCTTTAATTTCGGCACTAGCCATTTTTAACCGAGTGACATCTGTCATCATTATGACCGTATATTGATTAATTACTATTAAAACGGGAAAAACCTTCCCACTTCCCACACGACTTCCGAGGCGGTTTCATCATTAGCTTGAGGTAACTTCTTTTCACCATTACTCTCTTCTTTTACTTTTGTACTTTAATCAAAACCTCTCTCTTCGTTCCTTCACCAAAACCCTTCTTCGCCGGATCTTGAATTTTTCTTTCTTCCCAATGACTTCTGATTCCGATAGACCCGAGTCTCCGTCTTTCGATGAGAGGCGTTCTAGCAATGACGAGTGCACCCGCTCTGATGATATTGCCGGTCCGCACTATAGGTCCACTTGTACTCTTCAATCCCTCGAGCGGTTGAAAGAGCTTTGCCGGATTCCGCCGGAAATGATGGCGGAAGCACAAATAGCTTCCCCCACAGAATCCCCAGAGAACCATCGTGATGGTTACTTCTGTGTGTATGAGATTTATTTCAAAGGTTGCGGGCTGACCTTTCCTCTTCCCGAAGCCCTAGTTCTATACCTAGCGGCTCTTGAAATCGCTCTTCCTCAATTGACCCCCAATCTTCTCCGTACTATTCTTGGAATTATAACAATTGCGGCGGAGGCCGGTTATGTCATCGGAGTTACTGAACTAAATGAGCTTCTGAGCGTGAGAAGTTCATCAAAGAAAACGGGGTATTTCTCAGCATATCCTAACGCCAACAGGAACATCATTTCACATCTTCCGAACAAGGATGAAAATTGGCATCATCCTTGGTTTCTAATTAAGAAAACCCCCGCTTCGATTGGAAATCTCGCAGATTTTCTCCCTTCGAAGTGGTCTGCGAAACCCGGTAGTGATTAGGTTGCCCGTATCTTTCCCGGTTGTTTCTTTATCTTTATTGACTAACACCGTTGTTTCATTTCGCAGCTTTCATCGCTTCCAACCTCCCATCTGAAGAGTTCATCGAATTCTTCAAAATAATTCTTGAAGGGGAAACCCTTTGGAATTCCTTCACTCTTGAACGATTCCTAGAAGCTAACCACAGACTCAGGATGAGTCCGCCTGGTCATCTTCACCAAATTCCTCCCCCTCCCTCAACTCAGGGAATGTCATCTCGGGCCCTTGCGGCCAAACTTAAGTTGCTTTCCAAGCCGATGGCTGAGGCCTGCGAGGAGAAGAAAAAGTTTCTCGCAACTTCTATAGACAAGAAGGACTACAGCAGGACCTTGCTGGTTGATGATGGCAGCACCGAGGGAGCCCGATCTGTCGCTTCCTTCAGATTAACTCCTCGTCGCGATCGTCGCGACTCACGTTCTCCTCGGAGGGATCAATCTCCTCGCCGTGATTCACCTCATCCTCCCCGAGATGATTTTAGTAACGAACCAATTAAGAACTTGGTTCGCCGGAAGAGAGACAAGTCTTCTCGCAGCGATTCTTCTCCGCAGAGGGAAAAGTCGAGGGCCCGAACTGACCGCTCACCTCGATCATCCCCTCCTCCTGAACCAATGGGTCCTCCACGACCGGTTGATATGTCTTCCTCCTCCCAACCTGATAGTGGAAAGACTGCCCGGAGTGCGTCTCCGAAAAAGGGAGATTCCGAATCTCGAGATACTTCCTCGAGGTTAAAACCTGCTCTTGTCCCTCAAGTCAAATCGCTTTCAGGTTTGGTGATTCATACAGTATTCAACGTTTTTTTTTATATCTCCATTAAGATTCCGATTTTTACAACTCTTCTTTCTTCGCAGCTATGGAGACAGAAGGCAGCGTCTTCCGATGCTTCAAGACCCGTTCGGGTTCGATCTTGCCAGATTTCAACAAATAGCGCCCTGCAATTCGTGAACGCTATTTGCTTCACGCTTATCACTCATCTCGGGTTAGTTCCGTTTTTTTTTTTTTTTTTGCATTGCCATTCTGCGAACTGACTCACCATCCCTGGTTCATGTGTAATGCCAGGCTCATAGCGAATTTAACGACATGATCGAACATTACGAAGGGTTGGTCATTGGACGGGAGAAGGAGATTGACATGTGGAAGAAGAAATTCTTAGCTCTTGAGGCTGACCTCAACTCTTCTGCTGGCTCAAAGCACGATCTGGAGGATAAGGTCGATAGGTTGACGTCGGAGCTGGCGCAGGTAAAGGGGGAACTGCAAGACTACTATGATCGGAATTACAAACTCCAGGACGAACTGTCTGGTGTTCAGGGTAGACTTCATGAATCCGAATCAACCGCCGACACCCTGAACAACCAACTTATCGAGCTTGACGCGAAGTACAAGGCGCTAGCCAAGTTGCGTGATTCTGAGTTGGCAAGGTCGGCATCGAAGGCCAGAAAGGAGGTTAAGGGACGCGGGATGGAATTGATCCAAGGGGCCATTCGCTTCATGCAAACCGAGAAAGCTAGGTCGGACTTGGAGTCAGACATCAAGGAGCACGAAAGCAACCTGATTCTGCTGGACCAAATCCATGAAGCAGATTTCTCCGAGGAGCAAGAAAGGACCGAGCTGTCGACTAACCTTTCTGAAAAACGGAGTCGCTTGGCAGCTCTTCCCACTTCGGCCTTCAACCCGCTTGACTTCGAAACATTCTTTACTGAATCACCTCCTATAAGTGAATCGGGTTTAGACTGGGCAGGTAACGCTTGGCTCCTGTGGCTTACCTTTTTCTTACCTTGTACCTTTGATTGATTGGAATTATTACTTCTAGGCTTAAGTGAGACGGAAGACGTTGTCCCGCCCGCAGCTCCTATGGTACCAGAGGTCACTCCGGAGGTTGGTTGTACCGCGGAGGGTGGTCAGGGAGCTTCATCCGATCAAGCACCAGTCAAGGAGGTGAATGAAACTTTGGTTGCTGAGCCGGAGTCCGGGGTGGAGATCACTCCGTAGTGGCTGCGTCCACTTTAAATTGGGGATTGTCCCTTTAAGACTTAATTTATTTTTGGCCTAAGGAGGCTTTATTGTTTCTTTTGAACAAGATATTTGCCTGAGGAGGCTTTTAAACCTTTCTAGGTTGTGACCCAAGGGGGTTTGGTTAAAATTATATGCGGGTTTGCAAAGTCTGCTTTTAACCTTTTGTGGCCTTGTGGCAATGCTTTCGAGATTTTTAGGCTGATCAGACCTTTCTCTTTAAAATGCGAGAGCTGAGTTCGGCTTAAAGCGAGTTCCCCACTTCGGGTTTAGTCAACTCGGTAAACTTGTTGGGCTTGGGCCTTAGAAACTTTTGCAGTTAATGCGACGGTTGCTCTTTCCCTTCTCAAAGAAAACGGCTCGTCTTTTAATGCAATAATTGTCTTTTCTCGATTTTCCAAAAATGGTTTAACCCACTCGGAAACGCTACCATTAATGGGTTTATGGTTTCAAGATAAACCCTAAATCATTATAAATAAAGGCTTACCTACCTCTAGGCTTTATTAAACATAACTATAGAATCTCACTTGAGAAATATTTTAAGAATGGAAAACGAAGAAGTAGCCCCCATCGATCCCGGCAGCCCACTTTTCTTGTCCGGCGACGGCTTTGAACCGGCCGGCGTTCTCTTCCCTCACGCCGTCTTTCACTTTCCTCCGAAGGAGAAGAAAGAGGCTTGCGATTTTATCGACAAGGTAAATATTAAAGTTTTTGACTTAAAACTTCTTGTTTTGCCTTATTCACTCATTTTTATGCTAGGTCGCCGACAAGCACCGTCGCCTGTGTGAAGAGAGGCAGCGGCTGGGACTCAAAAGGCAGACGCTCGAGGCTCGTATCGCTCGGGTGGAAAGGAAGATACGGGCTTTGGAGAGTGATCCCTTTCAATGGGAGTGGCGGAACTTCGATTCCGTTGCTGAGATCCCGAAGATGCTTCGGATGTATCTCCGTGCTAGAGGAGTCCCGGGTCCCGTGAATGCCCCTGTCTTCGCCGTTCCATCCGACAGTGAAGAGGAAGAGGACTTGGAGGAGGAGGCCAGCAACTGCCGGAAACGCGTCCACGATCGTTCCGAAGTGGATGCCAAAAACAAGGCGTCCACTTCGAAGACTAAACCGGCGATGAAGGAGCCTGTTCCTGAGCCTCTCCCATAAATGTTCTTTAATTTCTTCACTTCTTCTCTTTTTTTTTTTAAAACTCGTAATGGGCTTCGGCCCTTTTTAATTTTATAGAAATATTTGCTACTTTCCTTTCTTTCCAAATATTCTTGCAGATGCGTCTTTTAATGCAGGATCCATTCGAGGGCATAAATCTCTCCGCGAATCATTCCATTCTTTGGATAGAATCCGCAGCTTGTTAGGGATATGACTTTTCTATAAATTGTTGTTTCAATTTCTCTTTACTCCTCACCATTCTTTTCATTTTAGTAGGTATGGAGTTCA